CATATAAATGATTTTCTATATAATATCTAATATTACATGCAAACATGTTTCAAGTTTCTAGCAATTAAGGACGTCTAAACTAATTTAGACAATTGGATCGGAACAATTAAATAATTAATTAATTTAATTAGCGGGTTCATTTAATTAAAATCAAATTTCAATTAATTATTAAATTAGAGCCCAACTCTAATTATATAATTATAGGGCAGGACTATTTAATTAAAATCAAATGTTAATTAAATATCAAATTAGAGTCCAACTCTAATATCAAAGTTTCAAGCGAGACAATTTAATTAAAATCAAATTTTAAGTAAATAGAAAAATAAAAGTCAAACTCTAATTTCAAGATATTATATCGAACGTATTTAATGAAAATTAAATTTTAATTAAATATCAAATTAGAGTTCGACTCTAATTTCAAATAAAAAAATTTAGGATGAGACAATTTAATTAAAATCAATTTCTAATTAAATGTTAAATTAGAGTCCAACTCTAATTTCAAGAATATACTAAGTTGGATAATTTAATTAAAATTAAATTTTAATTAAATATTAAATTGAAGTCCAGCTCTAATTTAAATTGAATTAATATTTTAATTTAAGGATAAAACTCCTAAATAAAATAAAATAAAATTCAATTTATGGTCAAAATTTAATATTTAAGTTAAAAATCAATTTTACGAAAATATAAAAAAATCGTCAGTTTTAAATAAAATTTTAAACGGATCAAAATTGAAATTTGAGGTCAAACTCAATTGAAAATCAAATCTAAAACAATTTTAATATTTAAATTTAAAACTCCTTTTGAATATTGCAACTTGACTCATGTTTCAAATTAAAAGCAAGCACATCAATTTTGAAAATTGCATGACAAGGCCTCCATTTAAATGTTGCAAAATTACCCCTTTCTCATAATTGCAGATAGGGCCCTACAATTTCAGAAATTGCATCAGAGGCCTCCGCCTCCACCTTAAACCACCGGGCTCCTGAAAACCTTAAAATAGAAAACGCCTTTCTCTCTCCTTGGCGGTGCCGGCTGCGGCGGGAACCACGGTTGTCAAGCGGCGGTATCCAGCCGCCCGCAGCAGCTCGTTTGAGCTACTGCTTGAGCTGCAATGCAGGGGCGACGCTGTCGCTGCGAGATTTGCAATAGCGCCTGCTTCCGCTGCAGATCGTGCAGCAGCATGCTCCACGCTGCTGCACCGCCTTTGAGCGCGGTGGCGCCCACCACCGCGACAGTCACCGCCCTTTTTTTTACCAAAATTAATTTTCGTTTCCAAATCATATTTAGAACTTGAAAATCAATTTTTCTTTAAATGCTATAAACACGAAAAATAACAACAATCAACTTTTGATTGTTATATGATGCGAATCAATTTCTAACAAACACAAAGTAGGTTCTGATACCATTATTGGGAATTTACTTAACATGCACATCGAAAAATTAATAATTTTTCAATTCCACTACGGATTTGTTAATAGTGTTGACGATTATGGACTTACACTATCTAATCTTCTCAAGCCATAAGAAATACTAGTTGGTCAGTTCCTATGGGATATTGCATTGATTCATACAATGTTCCATCTTTATGGTCTCCACCTCTTCATGCATATCCAATTAGTCCAATTGCAACATGTATCATATACTAATTGGCACACATGCCTATAAAATTACAACGGACTCACAGGTCCAAAATAAATAAGAGCTCGTAGAACCATAAAATAATAAGAATAAAACTAACAATTCAACACATCCATGTGGACGAGTCCATAATCATCTACTAATAAAATATTCATCATATAAATGATTTTCTATATAATATCTAATATTATATGCAAACATGTTACTAGTTTCTACCAATTAAGGTTGTCTAAACTAATTTAAACAGATAGATCGGGACAATTAAATAATTAATTAATCAATTAATTTAATTAGCAAATTTATTTAATTAAAATCAAATTTTAATTAAATACCGAATTGGAGTCCAACTCTAATTCCACAATTATAGGGCGAATTTATTTAATTAAAATCAAATTTTAATTAAATACCATATTAGAGTCCAACTCTAATTTCAAAACTTAAGGCGATTGAAATTAATTAAAATCAAATTTTAATTAAATACAAAAATTAGGGTCCAACTCTAATTCCAAAATATTAGGGTGAACTTATTTAACTAAAATCAACTTTTAATTAAATACCAAAGTAGAGTCCAACTCTAATTTAAAGTTTCCAGGCGAGACAATTTAATTAAAATCAAATTCTAATTAAATGCCAAATTAGAGCCCAACTCTAATTTAAAAAAATATATTAGGGTGAGATAATTTAATTAAAATTAAATTTTAATTAAA